ACACGTGATGCGTAACTTTGCGTATATGCATCACGTGTATTGTTATATGGCTTTTTCGGAGATGCGAGCAGGGTCAGAAGTAGTTAATTAAGAGGAAATTTACCTGCGGTGGGATTCTGTAAGCTCCGTAGCAAGAAATTTCCTGTCTAGCCTATGCTATTTGTATACGATTGATGAGTCACTAGACAGAAAATATGTTTACAGAATCGCTAGGCTGATTAACTAACCTAACCTAACCTAACCATATTCAAAGGCCGCGCCCGCCGCGCCGGCGCCACACATAGGGGTATTTGTGACTATAAACCTGGCCAAAAGTGATATTTTTTTATTTTCATTTTTTATCTTAACTGAATACAAATCTATAAATACTAAATGTAAGCACGTTTATTAGCTTTTTTAAGTCGTAAGTTGACTATCAAATAAATAATATATTTCAATTATAAGTATGAATTATCTTGAGTGTATTCTGAATATTTCTAAGATTATAAAATAGTGGAATTGTTTGTAGTGCTTTTTTTGCAAGTTGTTTATAATAACTGTCATGATGGATACAGAACCAGCTGGCAAGTCCTGTTTTATGCCATATTTTTATTTTGAACCGTTTCCTTCTATTCTATTTCTTTATAATGTTTTATATTTAAAAAATCAGAGGCATTTTTATAAGGTGTAAGACTACTCGGCAATATTCCGCATGGAAATTAGTATCCGTTCAATGCTTAAAGTCTCCAGCTTTGGAATATGTACAAAAATCTTGCCAATATTTGCCACTGCCAAAAAAAACATTGATTTAAATAGATTCTTAAAGGAAATAGTCTTTACCCTATAACACCCATCCTCGCTCAAATATCGTCTATAATGTACAAATTACTTTCTTGTTCTAGCATCCTCATCCAATTGCTTGGTTTTGCACAGAATGGCTCTATTTGATCGGTAGAAAGGGTTTCAGAGTAGAGGAAAAAATATTGTGTAGGAAAAACAAAATGGGGTTCCATATTAGCACCCTCTCCTCTAATAATTAATATTACTAGCAAAAAAGCAAAAAAATCATAAAACATAATTTTGGCCAACTTTTAGTTCTTAATACCCTCTGTCCGCCGTCGGCGCGTGCAAAAGCAGAAATAAATAAATTTTCGTTCCGGTAAAAGCGAGAACGCCCATGAACGCTGGTTGACGGCGCCTACCTGCTTTCACTGTGAACTAGCCGAGTTGATAACACGCTTTAATTTTTCAAGGTTATAAGCGCGAGGCGGCGGGCGCGGCGCTACTATGTACCCATATACAGGGTGTCCCAGAAATACGTGCAAGTATTTTAACTTAACTGGTAGTATAGTTCAACCCCAGAAACACGCCTATGAGGTTTTTTTCTAAATAATTTTTTTTTGAAAAATCGGAATTTTTTGAAAAATTTTTTGAAATTTTTTTTAGCTTTTATTTAAAAAAAATAATTTCTTGATAATATGGCAACATAGGTAGTAGATTAAATTTACAAGAAAGAAAATCCAGAAAAGATCCAGTGGTTCGCAAACAAATCTCGAAGTATTGGAAAAAATGTGTAAGGACCAAGCGAACTATTGACTACAATAAAACGACGAAAAGCAGCATATTTTGGTCATATTTTTCGAAATAACAAATATTGTTTCCTACAGCTGATCGTTGAGGGAAAGATTGAAGGACGACGAGGCATCGGGCGTAAACGGTTTTCCTGGTTGCGGAATTTGCGCCAGTGGTTTAATATAGGAGAGGCCAGTGCAATTATTCGTTTGGCTCAAGACAGGGAGGAATTCCAATTGATGGTCGCCAACCTCCGATGAGGAGAAGGCACATGAAGAAGAAGGTTCTCAAAATTTTAGCAAAAAATCATTTTTTTTGGAAATTTTCAAAGTAAAATAACTCTGTTATTTTAGACTTATTTGAAAAACGATAAAGAGAAAATATGTTTCTTTTATCGAGATCTACGACCCTTTAAAGTACTTGCACTTATTTCTGGGATACCCTGTTTATAACAATACACGTGATGCGTATACGCAAAGTTGCGAACGATGTCAAGAATAGGTACCCAGATTGGCGCTGACTACCAGTAAGCGGCAAATCTGCTTGCACTGTGATCGCACACTAATGTCAACGGAAGCTAGATAAAATCAAGAAAAAATTACGCTTTAAAACTAAATCTTAAATAACTTAAAAACGATTTATTTTAGGTATAGGAACATGTATAATCAAAAAGTAACGAATTAAAAAACCTTTTCACTAGTGAAATAAAAAAAAGTGGGTTTCCATTTGAAAAAAATGATTTATGATAATTTTTTAATCGCTTAATTTCATGTCGGCTACAGTCAATATTATATGACATTCGAACAATTTAATTTTTGAAATAGACACCCACATGTCTTCTCTTTATATCACAGTAGCTGTGATAATCACTAAATTTGTCGTTATACAGATTTTTTTGACAGACAGTTTTTTTGCTCCAAAAATTTTAAATATTTTTTTCCTCAAAAACGGTTAATGCTAGGTAAAGAGTGTTTAATATCAAAATTCATAAAATTTTAAAGAAAATTTAAGTATGTAATAAAAAATGGGGGTACCCATTTAAAATAAGAAAGATGCTGTCAACATCCGGTATTTCCGGAAGTGCCGCCATATTGAACATATTTTTAATCGATAGATCTCGTTGTGAAACAGTGATGTGCAAAAAATTTCCGATCTAGATATTGTAGTTCTCTAGAAACTTCTAATGCACGCTCATCCTGGGACACCCTGTATATTTGAAGGAACTTGTATAAGTCTTTCTTTTGGAGAAGTAGAAGCGTTCTGCGCAAGCGTATACGTATGTACGTATATACGTATACTGTATATACTACGCTATTTTTATTTCCACCACTATGCGGTGGTTCTTCACAGAGCCACCTAGATTTTTTTCAAATAATAAAGATCTACTGATGCAAAATCATTAAAATTAATATCTAGGAAAATCTTTGTCTGACGGATAGGCAACCTTAAAAATATTTTGAAGATATATAGGGATATATAAGGATAAGTTCCCCATTGAACACCGGAAAAATATACTGGCTGTTCCATTTAAAATAAAGGGAGTAACTTGCTTTTAAAAGTGACTAATGTTCCATATTAATTTTGTATCACCCTGTATAACTTTTCGGGTCAAATTTCAATTTGGTTTAATATACAATGGTTACTGTAATTAAATATCAGGCTATACAAGGTCAACTAAAATTTAGGTAGCTGTTATCGAAATTTAAAATTTACTGTTCATTTTCACAAGATGTGAAATATGTCAAAATCCTTAGATTTTAGGTATATGTTTCTTTAATAAAACTCTTTTCGATATAAACTACCAAAATTTCTTTTCGATATAAACTACCGTTCTCCTTGGAGCTTCCGCGGCGTATGAGACGCGCCACCCTGTGGTGGGTCAAATTCGACGCTTTTAAATGGAAACACCCATTTCTATAGGAGATAGGCAAAAACTAATATCGGTGTCTGGAGCTCAATTTTTGTCAAAACCATGATGGTGAAAACCACATATCGATATCTGTTACCGTTTCGGAGTTACGGGATGTTTTTCAAAATATGCATTTTTAACAAATCGCTGAACTTTTTTGCAATGGAAAATTTTGTATTTTTGTGAAAACATTTCCAAAGCATCTTTTTACGTAGAATTTAATGGTTTAAGTATAATTTTTAAAAATTAATAATTTAAGAATTATTAACAGAAAATTTGATTTTTTATATGGGACACCCTGTATATTTTTAATTTATTGAAAATAATTTAAAATTATCTTTCCAAAAATATAACACACTTGATATTTTGCTCGATTCCTCTTCGGGATATCGAATATATAAAAATTCGCCCGCTTTAAATAAGTAGGCTTTGAACGGCAACGGCTGTAATGCAAAAAAATTCTAGCTGTGAGCATCAATTAAAACGAAAATAATATTTGCTATGAGAGATGCAGAATTTTATAACAATTTAAAATATATTTAACCAACATCAACAACAACACATTTAAACTACATCTAATAACAATAAAAATAAATAACCAAGACATGACATTTTGCTACAGGTGCTCGACATATCGACTGTCTTGTGTTATGGACAGACGGGACCGTTTTTGAACATTCATTGCGGCATTCATTAACTCAATGGAGGGTGAAAGGTACCCTCTCATAACTACTAAGTATTTCTAATTCTTGTCTAGATTATACAGAAGAACAAGGAACCTTTATTCTTCCGCAAATATATCCATAGGATTAGATCCATGGGCACTGTCAGGCGGCCTCGACGGCCAACGGCTGGGATCTTGGTTAGCTATACAATTATTATTCTTGAAATTGGCTGCAAAAATTTACTGATAACTTCAGCGTTCAGAGGCGGTGCGTCGTCTTGCTGGAAAAATATGTTTTCAAGTTCCAGTAAGGGCCTATCATCAATAAGGGGTCCAAAGCCTACTAGTTAAAAGTGGCGAACTTTTAAAAATACTGTATTTCGAAGGGGATTATAACAAAATATCAAGTGTGCTATATTTTTGGAAAGGTAATTTTAAATTCTTTTCAGTTAATTAAAAATATAGAGGGTGTCCCAAGTAAAAAATGATTTTTTCTGATGATAACTCTTAAAATATTAATTTAAAAAAAATTATACTTATAGCATTAAATTCTACGTAAAAAGGTGCTTTGGAAATGTTTTTATAGAAATACAAAATTTTCCATAGCAAAAAAGTTACAGCGATTTGTTAAAAATGCACATTTTTGAAAAACACCCCGTAACTCCGAAACGGTAACAGTAATTGATGTGCTGTTTTCACCATCATGTTTTTGATGAAAATTGAGCTCCAGATACCGAACCAGTTTTCGTCTATCTCCTATAGAAAAGGGTGTTTCCATTTAAAAGCGTCGAATTTGACCCACCCTGTACAGCAAAGTTCCAAAAGTACCCTTTGAATTTGTAAAATATGAGGTTAAATAATACAGTATCGAAAATATACCATAGAAAAAAGTTTGTATTTATATCTTATTTATAATTTTATTCATGTAACATTTTTTTTGGATAACTCCAAATAATAAAAAACGTTCCCATTCATAGCGAACATGTTGGCACGCAGCGCATTAAAATTATTATAGTCTTTGAAAATAATCACTGTTTTTTGAAACTCTTCAAAATGGGATAGATGTTATCGAACGCCTCGTAAATCTCTTGCCTAACCTTAGCTCCCGTTAGGACCACCTTTCCAGACACGAATATTAACAGAACGATCCTGGGTTTCACCATACGATAGATCAAACCGGGAAAAAGTTCCGGCTCGTAGGAACTGAAAGAACTGTGCGTCAATACCAAGCCCTCTAGACGGATGGGAAACTTGACGTCACAACTGCCTACCATGTTCTGCAAAGAAAATATACAACAAATAAATACAGAGTGATTATGATGAAGCAGATTTAAATGCTCTTTCAAAATACAGTACGTCTGTCCGTACTGTAGCTACGGGGTATCCGTGAGAGGGGAAACGATATGCTCTCGATGTTTTTCGTAAAAAATTAGACGACGCGTCCCATCAATAAAAATTCGACTAATTTGCAAGTAGCCAATTAAATGAGTGGGCGGAGCGATTTGCGGTGATGTACTCGTCAAGTCGACGTATAAAATATATTGCTGTTTATTTAAATGTTTTTTGTCCGCATTCCATTCATAGACACAGATCCAGCAGACGTACTGTATATTAGGTTTCCTATTAGTCCAATCAGTGGAGGGTCATTATAGGCCTCTGCCATACAAAAGGTGGTGTAGTAGTCATTTTTTAATATGTTGTTAAGGTTTAGGTCTTGATGAAAAATCCAAGTTTTCGACCTTGGGGTGCGACCGCTCGAGCCGCCATCTTGAATTAAACATACAAAAAACTGTATTTTTCAAAAAATATCCGCAGCGGTGAATCTTACGATCAAAATGTTGGAATAAAAGTTAATAGATATCGATATTTTTTCGATGTATCAAGTATAACGGGACATCGTAAAAAGGGCGGAACAATTTGAGTGGAGTAATAATTTGGGTGGAGGCAAAAATAAGGGCGAAGAATATTTTGCAGATAACGAAATTTCCGCCCAAATTTTTCCATCGCAGATGCTGGAGCACGCTTTCTCGTTGCTTTGTATGGTGGCAACTTGGAAGAAGAAATCCGCTACCAACGTTTTGCTAGATCAACCACAAAAAGTAAATCCAATCTTGCTTCATTGCCACCAACGAAGGATGCTGTGCGGTATCATTCTTTCAGGACATATCAAGTCCAGAAATGGTATGGAATCGAGAAAAAAACCTGAAGACTGGAGCTGGAAACTGGGCAGCAATGGGCTTGTTCCACTCACCATGACAAAACAAGCAGCACCCGACAACTTACTGAAATTCATTTCATGCACTTGTAGAAAAGGATGCGGCGTAGCATTTGGTTGTAGGAGAGCTGGGTTGAAGTGTTCCGTTGTATGTGGCTTCTGCAGTGGTCAGTCATGCGAAAATGTCCCGGAGGTTCACATCGACATTGAGGACGCAGATGACCAAGACTTAACAATGGAAGAGCAATATATTCCCATAAGCACCGATTACGATGACACCAAAGACAATACTCAAAACGTTATTAATAACCGACCCGGACCATCAAAGAAAAGAAAACGCTAATAAATCGCCATGACACTACCTTATTTTTCAGTTTTTTTATGTTGTGCGTTATATTTCAATGAGACATATGAAGGTTATAACATATTTTGTTCGCTCCGTGGCACCGTGGCACTACCTCACCAGCCGCTGCTGTTTATACCTATGTAAAAATAGCGAGAATTTCGGAAAAATTACAAAATTGGGGAGTTTTTCTATTTTTTTGGAAAATATGTTCAGCTTTTCGTCACTGTACCTTCTATCCAAGATGGCGGCTCGAGCGGTTCCACCCCAAGGTCGAAAACTTGGATTTTTTGTCAAGACCCAAACCTTAACAACATATAAAAAAAATACTACTACACCACCTTTTGTATGGCAAAACACCCCACTGGCTGGACTATATACAGTACGTCTGTCCGTTCTGTAGCTACGGGGTATCCGTGAGAGGGGAAACAATATTCTCTCGATGTTTTTCGTAGAAAATTAGAGGACGCGTCCCATCAATAAAAATTCGACAAATTTGCAAGTAGCCAATAAAATGAGTGGGCGGAGCGATTTGCGGTGACGTACTCGTCAAGTCGACGTATAAAATATATTGCTGTTTATTTAAATGTTTTTTTGTCCGCATTCCTTTCATAGACACAGATCCAGCAGACTAACTTTACCTATCTGGCTCAGATTTTGAATAAAACGCGATTTTTCAATAAAACTGTAATTAAGATGGCTGGTGTCGCCATGGCAATTTTCTGGTGACACTTAGTAGCTAATTTCAAATTCGACATTAGTTTATGCACTTCATTTAAATTTATAACAGGTTATTATTATTCAATTTACCTAAAATAATAATAATAATAAATAAAGGTTCTTCAAATCTATAAAATCCATCCAATGCTTCAAAATTTCAAACAATGCAGTCATGGAGAACAAGCATCCATCTAACAACCTGTAATGCAAATATACAAACAGATACAATCCCAATCAAAAGAGGAATCTTCCAGGGCGATTCCCTAAGTGCACTGTGGTTTTGTATATGCCTTAACCCACTCTCCAATACTTTGAACGAAACAGCATATGGCTTTAACATTAAATACGAAAAATCAGTAAGACATAAAATTAACCATCTCCTATACATGGACGACATAAAACTATATACAGCGACAAAAACAGAACACACCGAGCTACTTAAAATTCTAGAAAAATCCACAAACGACATAAAAATGGAATTTGGGATGAACAAATGTAAAACACTACACATAAACAGAGGTAAATGGCAAAACGAAGAGCAGGCATCTACATTAAACAATGAACACTTAGACAACATGCAACCCAACGAATATTACAAATACTTGGGAATTTTACAAAACAGAAAAGTTGACCATACCGCACTCAAAACCCAACTAAAAGAACAATACAGGAAAAGACTAAGTAAAATACTGAAAACCGAACTAAATTCAAAAAACACAGTTAGAGCGATTAACACCTACGCCATACCGCTGCTCACCTATTCATTTGGAATCATTAAATGGTCCAAAACAGATCTGGAAAATTTAAATATTCTGACAAGAACTCAGCTAACTAGATTCCGACAGCTGCATCCCAACTCTTGCAAGGAGAGGCTGACCATTGAAAGAAAAGAAGGAGGTAGGGGCCTGACAGATATTCACGAAATACACAACAAACAGATTAATTCCTAAGAAAATAAAGAAAAAAATACCTCATTACACCAAGCAGTAACTATAGCGGATGCTAACTACACACCATTAAATCTTAACGCAGAAAATATTCCTGTTTCAAATATACTCACATTAGAGGAAAAGAAAAACAAATGGTCCCAAAAGCAACTACATGGAAAACACTGTCATATTATGAACAACCCCGACATCGATAAAGAACTGTCATATTCATGGCTACAAAAAGGGCAACTGCAACCGGAAACGGAGGGATTCATTATAGCGATACAAGATCAAGTAATAGCAACGCGCAACTACAGGAAATACATAATAAAAGATAGGGCCCAACAAACGGATACCTGCAGGCGTTGCCACCTCCAAAGTGAAACAATAGAGCATATTACAAATGGTTGTAAAATACTCACTGGTACAGAATACACTCTAAGGCATGACTTTGTTGCGCGTATTATACATCAAGAAATAGCAAAAACATATATATTTATACAAGAAGAACAGCCCTATTACAAATACACGCCGCAATCTGTCTTTGAAAACGACACTATAAAACTCTACTGGGACAGAACGATCCATACTGACAAGACAGTAACATGCAATCGACCTGATATAACGTTAACACTAAAAAAAGAGAAAGTAACATATCTAATAGAAATCAGTGTTCCGAATGACAACAACATAACAAAGAAATATGAAGAAAAAATTAGCAAATATATTCCACTAACACAGGAAGTAGAACGAATATGGCAACAAAAAGAAGTTAAAATACTACCATTTATTATATCTAGTACGGGCTTCACACACAGGAAATTTAAAGAAAACCTCGATTTAAAAGGACATATTCACACACTTGCTCAAAAAGCAGTAATCATTAAAACCACAAACATAACCCGCTCCTTCTTAAAACAATAGAAACAAAACAATAGAAACTCTGACAGTACTTGGTAATGAACACCCGTCTGTCAGAATATGCCACCAAGAGTGAGAAAAAAAAGTAAGTATTTATTATTTTATCAAGAAAAATGAAGCAGTATCTACTGGCAGAAGGAATGGATATGTTACTAGTGATTTTATTTTGTGAGGACAATAGCTTGGTTGGCCTGAACGGTTTATGCTCAAGGATATCCAAATAGGAATGTTCTTGACAAGCGCGTTCCTTTGAATAACTACCTTGCCTATTTCGCAGAGCTATATGAAAAACCTATTAAGCAGAAACCTGTCGCTGGAAGTGAAGAAAATGAATTTGCCTTAATTGGTTCTTTTATAGAACATCCAATATATCTACAAATCATCGTAATATAAATCAAAATGAACTACTTCTTTATTTTTCTTGATAAAATAATAAATAATTACTTTTTAAACTAATATAAAAGTAAACTGTTATCAGTTTAAATAAAGTCCATAAACTAATGCCGATTTTGAAAATAGCTACCGTCTCTAGCAAATGGCGACACTAGCCATCTTGATTACCATTTTATTGAAAAATCACTTTTTATTCAAAATCTGAGCCAGATAGGAATAGGAAAGCCTAATATAGTTTGAAAGAGCATTTAAATCTGCTTCAACTTGTCTAAAAAAATACAGTGTTGCATTTAAAATAACAAAATTTTTATGTAAAATAAATATTTAAAATAGACCAGCAATTTTTTATACCCCTGTATATATTTAAGGAAGTAATAAAAATTTTTAGTAATGTTTATTCCTCTGGCTTCAAAGTCAGCACAAGAATTAACTCTGCAAAATAAAGTACAGGGTGTTGACAAACTTTTTTATTATAGCATGCATATTTAAATATCTCAAAAACCAAAGCATTTAAACATATTAAACCCTTATAATAAATGCCTTATTTTATACCCAAGAATCCAAAAATGAAGTAAAATACCGGGTGTTCCATAAGAAAAAATATAACTTTGGTATGGATCTTAGTTCTGACACATCCTGTACATTTGAAAATAATTTTAAATTATGCATATTGCCTCACTACATATACCCATAAAAAATTTTGTTTCTACATCTTTCCGTTTTCACATAATCAACCGAGGCGAATGAGGTACGCCACCCTGTATAAAGAGGATTTTTGTAATTTGTTGTTTGTATAGTCTGTCCAACGAGAAGATCCTTGACAGTGATAGATGTGTCTGTCATTTTAATTTCAAAGTAGTTTATTTTATTTTACAAAGAAATAAGTTGGTACAACTGGAACGCATAGCAGGAAATTAATATATGTATTTAAAATTTAACTGACAAGTAACTTCAAAATATTGTGAAAAAAACTGTATAAAACTGAAAAAATGTAATCTACTTATTTTATTTAATAAAAAACGGTATGTGTTAATACAAAACAAACAAAAAGAAGACACCACAAACCAAAAAATATAAAAAAGAACTATTTCTTACTTTATGAAACTTCCCGCATTTATGATTATATTTATCGATATAACTTATGTACAAATACAAATTTGTAATATTCCGCAGGAATAAATAAAACAACATAAATAAAACAAACTATTTTATTAATAATAACACTTACCAAATTTTATACCTCACAGGTTGATTAATTAACTTTAATCTTAATTTTTAAACCAGTACCTTTTGACATTATTTTTCTGCAGTACTAAAATCCATTATTTACCTATCGTGTGATGTCGATATTTTACAGCTACTCCAGTTTTTAGTATGGTCCTTCTACCATATTCGAGATGCACTTATCTACAACGAGATGGTATACGAACTTTATTGATAGTAACTTTATTGGTGTATCTGTATAAGACTTTCTGCCTGGGCAGCGAGTATTAACCATAAACTGTGCTCTGGATTCTACAGTTAATTTTCACTCGATTTTTCCTCCACTTGACTTCAAAAGACACAAAACACGTAATAACACGAATCAAAATGCATCATCTTCCAAAACGCAGGGTATTTGTCAAAAGCAGGGTAGCCACAAGAAAATTTTTGATTGTGCAGAACTTGACCATAAAAATGTGTAGCATTGTGTAGCAATCCATGACCAATAATTGTAAACTATCCAATAAGACCAAGAATAAGACCAGAATAAAGCCGGAGTCTCATGCATCCGAAATCCGATGACACGACGATCCGACGGTGCTCCTATTGGTCGAAATATTATGACAACAATTTTTATCCGATAATTTTAACTAATCATCCGACGTCGTATAAAGTTAAATTTTGTTTAACTTTTGTACGATATCGTGTGTTTTTTAACCTCACTTTTTGAAAACATTTGTTTTTAAAAACAAGTTTAGTGGGAAGTGGGCAATTTCGGGATATTTGGCGAGGAAGTTATTTTTATAAGTGTTTCTCCAATAAAACATGACATGAATCTCTATTCAGCGCAGCAGAAAAATGTTAAAACTGTCAAATTTCGGAACGAACTTTCGGATGTATGTGACAGGCTTTTTTTATTTCACACGATAACTTCAAATTTCGGATGTCGTACCATCGGATTTCGGATGCATGAGACTCCGGCTTAAGACGTAAAATCGCCAAATTTTAAAGCATAATTACGAGTCTCGATAAGAGTCTCACTTCCACTCGTTTGTATACGTCGATATATTAATTTCCCATTTCATTTCTTCTCATGCCAGCAAATATTGCAATGACGTCAAAATTGATGTCGCGAAACTAACGATTTTATGGAAAAATTAGACCGGTTGAAAAGTCTGTTTAAAAACTGTAAACAATTCAGGACTGTTTAATCGGCCAAATTTGTCCATAGAAACTGCAGTCCTTGCTGATATGGGAGGAAAAGTGAAATAGGAATTGAATATTATTCACGTATGCCAACGAGTGAACCGAACTACAGTGAAATTTGGCCAAAGTACGTGTTATGTATTATTTAAAGAATTAAGCGCTCCTCTCTACCGTTTTTGACTCGACCAATAGATGACCGAAAATTATATTTGTCAGTTCAAAATTTAAAGTTCACTTGCGGCCTCTTTTAATGTAACTTAGATAATTTAAAAGCAAAAAAAACAGCTTTTGTCAGCTGATTTACTGTTCTGGTATTATTTTTTATAATAAATATGTAAATTCTCAAAATGTGTAGCATAGGCCATTGTGGTGTAGCTGTGCAGTCATGGAAGCAAATCTGTAGCAAAATTCACAATTGTGTAGCTTGTGGCAACCCTGGTCAAAAGTTGTCACAAAATTATAACCTATAATTTGGCAAGACTTTGACAAACGTCAAAAATCTAAAGGCGAGTTCATACGCATCGGCGTCCGTTTGTCGTTTATCGTTCCGTCAAACCAATAAAATTGAAATACGATCTGTCATTTTTGAAATAAACCAATAAAACTGGTTAAAAACAACAAGTGACGACGCATGACGAATTTATATTTAAACTCATCCATAGTTAACTTAAAAATTATTAGAAACTTTTTTTAGTAAAATAAATAGATTGGTATGGGACGTCATCTGCTTTTCTTCTGTCGAAATCTTACCTGAGAAAAAAAACAGAGTATAGTTGTTGCATGACATCTTAAAAGGCGGTTTTTGTTACTGGGCATGTTAAAGTAATTCCATATAAACTATTTTTCAATAACTCAATAATTTTTTTCTCCAATCTTTGTGAACTTTTGCCTGTATATATTTCTATGGATTACAAAGTTATAGAAATCACATTTATAGAATTTAAGTAAATTAAAAAATGTAATACCTCTGTGATATCTGACATGAAATTGATTTGCGCTAAGTATAGTTATACAGACCTGTATTTTAAAATCCAGAAATTTCGCTGGGAATCCAAGCTTTTGTATTATTCTAGCATACTTTCTAGCCGCCAATCTAGAATCCTCTTCACTTTTCGCCCCTGTACACACCATCTTGCCCGAACTAAATATCAGTGCTGTAGTTCTAGGCTCCCTAATTCTCATAATGACTGCGGCAAAACGTTTCGGATTGTACTCTGCATTCCTAGCATGCAACGCAATTTTTTTTAAGTCTAATTTACAGTTTAAGTTTACAGTTGATACAATATTTCTGAAAGTAATCCAATAATATTAAGGTTAAAATTAGTCAAACACTGTAATTCTTACTGTAATTGTGGTACAATTCCTGGGTCTGCGGAATGTGGAGTCATCGGAGTCATAGGAGAAGGAGTAGCAGGGCCGCCAACATTTGGAGTGGCACCACTACCCCCCGAACCACCCAAGTTTACCATAGGTGACATCATAGTGTGCTGCTGAATATCAAAAATTATGTTAATATTACAAAAGTTTAAATGTGTATTATGAAAATTATGACACTGAACGTGAGGCAATAAATTCTGTTGTAACAGTACTTACTGGTGTTTGAGGGGTCATTCCACTATGCATAGTGGACATAGGCATTTGATAAGCTGTAACGTATTTTGTGTGTGGCATGGACATGGCATTTCCCATGCCCAGGCCTAATGTGGGCGTTAGACCTCCCATCGGAGCTAAAGATGGTACTTGACTGGTGGCAGGTTGGGACTGTTGTTGCTGTTGTAATGCATTTGGTAAAATCTGTTGGTCTTCCTCAGGTTGGTGTAGTGGAGTTCCTATATGTTTAATGTTGAAATTATTAAATTAATCTGCCTAATTATTGTGATATAAAAACAAAACATCTTTTATATTTCACTGGAAAATATATACTGTTGTAAAATATTTAAGCATGGTATTAATTATTTAGCAAATTTAAATTAAAACTAATTTTCACTTACCAATACTAGGGATGCTAAACCCGGGACTCGGTAGCATTTGATCCATTTCGATGTGTAAACGGAAATTGTCAACAGCAAAACTAAATCGTAATCATTAAGTTAATTACTAAGTTTATAATATTTCATATCTAGCGTTTTCCTTTAACATTTAACTAACAAAAATTAAAGGCAAAATTTTATAAACAAAAAATTGATAAGGTCAAATAAGGTTATGTTCAGTCTGTGTGTTCAGTTATGTTCAAACTAGCGATGGGAACTATCGAATGAATTACACTATCGAATGGTTACTGAATGAATGATTTCAACTATCGAATGGTTTTATTCGAATAAAATCATTCATTCATTTGTATACTAAAGCATATGTGACAACCTCGCCGTGCGACTAATGGTTATCGTTGAGCCACGACTATCGAATGCTTTTGATAAATGAAGTTTAGAATTTAGTATTCGTTTGATTTTTGTGTGCGTCAGTGCATTATTAGTTCTTCCAAATTTTTATAACTACGACGTATAAATAGTGTGCTATTTTTTGGCGTTTATTAAAATATTTAAAATACTAAAATAGTAGTTTTTTTAATTGACGATTGTGTGCGTGTGGAGGTGGTCAAAATTTTTCCGAAAATTTGTGTGATTTTCCGTAGCCCGATCTTTCAATTATTTAATTTTATATGGTATATGGTCTATTTTTTATTGGGTAATTTTGAGAAGTAGCAATTTTTAAGAGAGATGAGATGAACTTACAATTAATTTTAAAAATACATATTTGTATTTTAGATGTTTTAATTTTTAATAATATGAATTAGTTGAACTTAATAATCATATTTAAGTAATGTGGTTAAGTAAATGATTATCGAACTCAAACTATGGGGTGAGAAAATTAAATTGAAAGTTTTACACGTGCCAATTAAAAAAAAAGTTAACGATGTTTGTATTTTGTTTATGCTAATTCTCTTACATGTAGTTTTTTGCGAAGAAATATTTCATTTATTTTTTAAAGTAAATGCCAGTAAAAGTAAATATATTATTTTTAAATAGTAATATAAAGCACCTAATATAAATAATTTTGATTTCTAATTTTTTATTTATATTTTCCTTCCATTACACTGCATGCTTAGAAAATTAATAAATGTTGATATTTCATGATTTTAAAATTTGTTGTTAATATAACAAATTAGTTCTGTAATTATTATTATTTATAAACCAACGTTGCCACACAAAAAATTTAGAGACTATATTATTTTTAAATAGGATCTAATATAAATAATTTTGACATCTAATTTGTTGTTTATATTTTGCTACTACTTAAAAAATGTTTATATTAAATGATTTTAAATTTTGTTGTTAATAGGTATAACAAATTATTACTGTTATTATTATTTATTAAACCAGTCTTTGCTTAAAAACATTAAAAATCATTTTCCTACATCCAAAATAACAAGTATTATTGCAGTGTAACAACAGAATATTAATAAAAAGAATGCAAAATATATAGACATACTATCCCTAACTAACTAAAGCCAAACAATAATATTCTTTGCTAATATCAACTAATACCAATATATGGCAACAGCGCCCTTTATAATATATTTTCTGTGTAAATACTAGCACCTCAATAAAAAAAATAATGTGTCCTTATCTTTATCTGACTCCACAAAAAATCAAAGATGCCGCCTTCTTTCATAGCACTGCCACCGACCGCTGTCGGGTTTCTCGGAAAGAAACCTACGTCTCCGGGCGACAACTAAAATCCAGTTAATATTTTATTATAATCGATCCTGACCAATAAATGAATTTCATAAACGAATGAATTTTATAAATGAATGAATTTTATAAATGAATGTTTTTTGCTGCCAAATTACTAGAATAAAATATTTCAAGGCAGATGACGCATCTATTCGATAATTTTTATTCGAATAGTTTTCAACGAATGTTTTCTTACTAGCTATCGAATTATTCGAATGAATTGCAACTATCGAATGTTTCGATAGTATTCATTCGATAGTTCCCACTACTAGTTCAAACTGTTCATTCATAGAGCCAACATAGAGCAGACCCATGGTACAAAATACAAGGTATGGTATTGCGCAGGTTGGTCACTACATCACAGGTGATAAACGGCACCATTGGTCGGCAAGCTCCGCGCGCCAATTTCAAATTGTCAAACAGATGACACAATAAATGCGAAAATAATTTTTCAAATGTCAAGCTCGATAATTTGACATAACTTTTGGGGTTATGTCCTAATTCTTCCCTATTTTAGGTCTTTTTTTATTAGTGGCAATTGAACAATATGGATATTTTCTTGTATGGCGTATGACGTCACAGGTAGTATGCGCAAACTTAACGAAATTGGAGCCGCTATCGATCATACCTTGTTTCCTTTGTACCATGGAGCAGACCCATGGAGCAGACCTATATATCCTTGGAGCAGACGCATGAAAAATCATATATTCTAAATATATGATGAGTATATTTTTATTCTTAATCTAAGATTTCAGCCGTCATTTCAGATCTAACGCGTTCAGGGATGGTCAGCGGCTGAGTGGCTGAGAAAGCGACTTCCCTGAACGGCCTATTTTTTACACACAAACGGTCGGCCGCTCCGCAAAATCCTCAGCGATTAGTCAGCCACTTGAGCTTGAGCCACTGTGAATGTAGGTAATAATTTTTTATTCTTGATCTAAGGTAATAATTTACAAATTAATTCTTGAGAGATATAATTATTTGGTAATGGTGTGGATCCGATGGCTGACCTTGAAACGAGTTTTTGCTGCATATAGTCACTGACACTACGCATGCGCACATGTTCGATGTTGCCAGTTTGCAAGTTATTTTGGAATTATTTTCAGTAGAAAACAAATATGTGCTTTTCAGTGTTTTTTTGTCAATATATACCGTGTGATCGAAAAAACGGCGTCCAGTTGGCTGGAAAATGACGATTGAGGACATTTCCCAGGTAAAATGACAGCGATCTTCATTTCATAGTCATCGCTGACGCTTTTTTCCATCATAGTACTCGGTATATTATATTATTATTTTAATATTTCGCACAACACGTGAACGCTGAACACTAAAAAAAAACACTGAACACTAAAAAAAAATTTCAACTGCAAATAATTCGAAAATAAACTGCAACTTGGCAACATCGACGATGTGCGCTTGCGTAGTATTGTTGATCAAATACAGCAAATATAGGCTTCAAGGTCAGCCACCGGATCCACACCTTTACCTTTAATACCAATTATTTTTATAATTATTATAGAAATATTAATGGGAATATGCTTTTATTATCACTTTGTACCCTTCTTGTACCTATGATCCAGACCATAGAAAACAATTTTAGTTTTTTGACATATAGTTGAATCTACTAATCTATGGTCAGATTCGTCAGATTCAAACAGGCCATAACCTTTAATATTTCGTTTTAAGTTTCTGTTTCTTGTTTATTAATTAAAATTAAATTTTAAAAACAATATTAGCTCTGATATTAGTTAAAAATGGCAAAAATGCACTGTTTTAATTGTAGACGTACTACTGAACACTCCTTTAGTGTTTTCAATGAGTGGGGTGAGACGCATACAAGAATTAGAGATTATATTGAGGAGACTGTGGGAAAAGAGGTATAACATACCAAAAAAGTTTGGGATAGAGCAAATTTAGTAATAAAAGATGTAGATTTTGTATTTGGAATGTAAATCACAAAACTGTGTGTTAATTTGGCAATGTCTTAAGTCTTTCTATAAAAAATACTGTAATTGTTTTTATTTTTGATCAATTGATTTTTGTGAACATTATATTGTTTTTTTTTATTAAATGTATAATTCTCACATCAATATAGTGTAAAAACATGCATAATATCAACACAAGGAATTTTGGAATAGACAATTAAAACAAACAACTAAGTTTTTCTTCTAAAATTCTAGTAATGCTATACATATCAGAGAAATTGAACCTTGATATATTATTTTAGAAGTTAGACTTACTCTTTCAACAACAACCAGAAAGTCAAATATGCAATATGTGCCTGAGATTAATAGAAGGTTGTACAAAAGTGAAACGTCAACTTGCTGAAGCTATTTCATCTGGAAGGGAGCAGCAACCTCCTGGAGATTATGGTAATTTATGGTTATTCAATGTATTTTTTATATTTTTTTACTGCCTGACTGACTATTTTACCATTGAAACAAAACTGGTGTGAGTGGTTTCCTTGTGAACTTATTTGTAACTCGTCGCGGAGCGTGAGCGCCAAGCTTGTTGCAAAAAATGTTGTTTACAAAGATAGTATACTTGCCAAGGACACGAGTCATCAGAATCCGCATTTAAGGCGGACTCTCACGACTCGTGTACTTGTACAAACATTTGAAGACTACAGGGGAAAAACGATCTAAGTCACATTTTCTTACTTTTGAGATAAATGATTTTGAAACTTTAAAGACTAAAGGTAAAGAAATAATAAAATGTAGCGAATTGTAAGAAGTTTTTATCAATAGTTATATGTATAGACATTAACTGATTAACAGACAAAACAAAGAAAAATAATTTATAGCAAATTTGTTAGATAAAATAAAACTCGTATTCGCTTGGTTCAATGGAAAAGTGATCCAAGTCCATATGGAATAATTCTGTATGTAGTTACTCCGAGGATTACTCGTGCTGGAATAAAGAGAAAAATGTGTTTTATTCTCATTTTTATTATTAATATTGTTATTATATTTTCTTAATATTTTTTTATTTATTTCTTATTTTTATTATTTTTTTTATTAATATTATTAGCATTAGATTATTTTTTACTTAGGAATGGCGATTTGTTTCTGATAAAATGAAACTAAACTACTAGACAGTTCCCTTATGGTTCCACTAGAACCATTTCCAGAATTTAATTTCTTTGAATTTAAAACTAGTGACACAATAGGCATAATCAGACTTCTTTTCTTAGGCAGAAATAAAAGCAATATAGTTTAATTGATCTGCATCGTTTAAATGAGCATTGTTTGACGCACAAGGCAAATTTGTGTAGTAGTCTTGCAGAGATTCATCTACGAACTTTTTCAAAAATTGTAACTGCTCATACTTGAGTTTAGGCAAAGGAATTAGGTCAGCATAAAGTTGTTGTGGTGCTGAATATATAGCTATTTTTATTCGTTTTGTATGCGTTGATATGTTTACAAACATGAAATATGGACTTACATCGGTCTTCCATGAATTCACGTGGACTAGCTTGATTTTCATGCATCCGTTGCCCGACGATATGTTGATACAATATTAATTTCATTGGTTGAATTTATAGACTTCTGTTGGTTAGAAACGGTTAACCAATCGAAGCCTTTAAATACAACCAATGAAATTAATATCGTATCAACGTATCGTCGGACAACGGATGCATGAAAATCAAGCTTTAGATCGCTTTTCTAAAGTATTAATATTTTAATCGCTGATTTTAGTGGACTTGATAATTATTTCAGTGTTACATTATTCCTATTTTGGAACGCACACTTGATGGGCATAAGATGGCAGTGTTATCTCAATTTCCATTTTTTTGGACTTAGTCCGTTTTTCCCGTGTAGTCTTCATTTGTTATTGGCATATACGTTTGGCACTGTTAGCAATAGGAGATTCTCAATGCGATAAAAAAAGATGACACGGCTGCAGTATACCCTGCAGTGTAACAAAGACAGATAACTCTGTTTTCTTTTCCACTGATTACAAGAAGTGACACGATGAGTGAGAAGATCGCTTCTGGGAGAGGGGGCGAGACCACAACCATCTGCATAGATAAATGAAACAAGTTTAGATTGGAAAGTGCCCATAAGGACAATGTAAACACTATTTGGCGCTATTCTTGCAACGGTCGCGACCCAAAACTTTTGAAAATTTCGGAGCGGTTCGGCTTTATCCGGAATTATATCGCCAAATATTGTTTATTCAAATTTATTATTATTTTCGTTTAATTTTATACATAAAATACAGTGTGTTGCATACAAGAAACTTTATTTTATATAAGGACGCATGTATGAAATACCTATGAAACATTGGAAACCGACGTTATGCCACGATCCACGATGGTTTTTGCAGTTCACAGCACAGCTTTTTAAGTTTTCAATGCCACTTTTTCACAATTATTACCGGTTGGAGGAAATAAAACTTGAATTAAACTCACAAAATAGCAATAATTACTTTGAAAATGGAAACTATAAACACTTTTCGGAAATTGTTTAATGAGAGCGGTTTAGATTTTGAAAGATTATTATGATTTTTGAAGATTCTGACTTTGACAAGAGAAAATTATTTCTGTTTTTGTTTGCCGTTGTTCTTAGCGACCGCTATAGCAGCGCCAGATCGCGTATAACGGTCGCGACCCAAAATAATTTCGCGACCCAAAATTTTTACGGGCTTTCCAATCTAAACTTGTTGCATTTATCTATGACCATCTGCTTCGCGTCGGCGCGGCGGTGGAACTTCGACAAAAGAAAAAATTCCGGAAAAAAACTTAGTAATGAATGGCAGAACAGGGTTGTCAGATTTGTTAGATAGTAAATTTATTTCTTCCCTATTTGGTGATCTTTTATTTATAAATCAAAAACTTTATTAAATAAAATAATTAGATAATTTTTCACGACTTTCTTTTATTAACAAATATCGATATTTAAAATGATCAATCAAAATTAAAAGTATAACAAACTACAAACAAAATAACAAAATAAAATATAATATTTAAGTACAAAATTAGCATTTCAATGTGTTCCCGAGTGTGTTCCTAAAATTGAACACGCAAATAAAATACAAACAAAACAAATATAACAAGAATTAGAAATAGCTAGGTATAATATGATTTATAATATCAAAAAATCTTATCAACTTAAATAATATTAATATTGTTACGGATTCCGTGGGTCCACTATTTAAACTCACGATAAAATACTTAACGAATTTATTTGTTTCACTCTGTACACACAACTTATACTATTTACAACACAACTTATGCAACTACTATTACTCTAACGGTATTTCGCGGTATTTTCAAACTTCAGACTATCTTCAGACTTCCGACTTCCAACTGTCAAAGCGCGGGCCTTATATACCCCCTGGCGGTTGTTTCTAGGTTTTTCTAAAGAATTCTATAATTTTCTTTTACTTTCTGGCGAATGCGCCAGGTTCCTCAATGCACGTTGCGATTATTTAGCAGTATGCAGTTATGCAACCAGTAATACACCTTGACAATGTATTAATAAAAACATTTAAAACTAATAAGTAGGGGTATCAGTCACTTTTTACCTTTGTACAAAGTTGGTTAACTCATATCTGTTAACATAGCTGTTAACTCTCAACTCTCTTTTTATTAATATACTTTTTAGACAGGAGAAGCACACAATATTTGTCCGTATTTAGTTTGTTTCTTAACTTAGATTTTGTTCTTTGTTTATTTTTTTGGTGGAGAAATGCGGGTTCAACTTTAGTAAATGAATGAGACAAAATATTTTCTAAATATATCATCTTCGGAAATGCTGGCAATACAGCACATAATCAGGGATAATAAGAATTTTTGAGAATGTCCCCGTAATTCTGCGACCAGACAGAACGATGACCTATAATTTCTAAACAAAATTTTATAAACAATAATATTTACGAATGTCAGAATATACGGTTTACGACGCGATAGTCGCTTAATTTTTAGTCCAAATGTGTCAGATTTTTAAAAGTGCTTCTATTGTAAAGACTAAAGACGCAGTTGAACATATCGCTAGACTTTTGTTTAAATCGGTAGAACGGTAGCTTACAGACGAAAGCGGTAGACCTGGCAACTCTGTGATGGACTGACGCGCTGGCGCGACGCGACGCGGAGGCGCGGAGAAAGAAATAATATTAATGGCGATAAAGAGCAGGTGGATGGGAGGAGGCGCGGAGGGCGGTCCTATTTCCAAAATTTGTTGTCTTATTAGAGTTTGTCTAACTCGACAGTCGTTGTGGAAGTGGAAACGGGGAAGTTATTGTTCATCTCTGTTTAAGCTTAGACTGTTTGTAGGCGTTTCATTCCAATGCATGTAATTCCTATGCCTAGATATCAAGATCAAGTTACCAATCCTGTATACTTGCCATGTCGTGTGAGCGGTTTACTTGTGCAATTATTTGTCACTCGGTCTTTTTCACTTATTTTTTACTACCCGAAACAGCGTTTTATCACACATACCTCGTACCTGAGTGTTTTATAGTTACAATAACTGCACTAGCAAAAAACTAGAATACTTAAATATTATGAAAAAAAAGCCACGATTTCAATATTATTTTAATGCGATCAACATGAACTGTAACCGGAACGGCGTGAAATACGAGTATATAGCGAAAATTTCTGATTTCTGCCGTGTAGAGCGCCGCAGTCGAAATTTTTTGAAATTAACTGAAACGCACCAAGCTTATACGTAGTTCTCTTTCGCTGATCTCAACTGTCAATAATCTAATTGAATTTTATCGGCAGATTGAAAATAGCTGGGGGAGTGGCGCTACTAGTTTTTTATACTCGGATATTCTTTCATTTCAGCTTCTAGCATGTGTAATGTCGATGAAGAAATTGTGAGTTTCTTGAGGGAGGGGAAGAAAGGAAAGAGGAAAGGGAGAGCCCAGTCAGCTCGTGGAGAACAGGAGTCAAGGGCGGCATTAAGGAGCGTACTTAGTGAAAACGATAAACATAGTAGGTATGTAATACAGGGTGTTTCAAAAAACGTGCCATCTCTCGTGGGGGATTCCTCGCGTAAAAATAAGATTTATTTTTTATATCAACATAGGTCCGATTCTGCTTTGTTTCGTAGCCACAGGGGGTTAAAGTTTTAATTTTTTTTTCGATTTATTATAATTTTCTTCCAAGTGCTTTTGGCGATTTGAATGAAATTTTGATGGTAAAAGTTATTTACTATACGACTTATTTTAATGCTAAAAATGTGTCCACATATTACAACACGGACGTGCATATAGGTTATCAGCAGAGCTGCAAGTTCATAGAGAACTTAAGTCTTTTCTTGACTTAAATCATTTTAATGACTTAAATCATTTGATTTTAAGTCATATTTCGAAAGCTGACTTAAGTTAATTTCGAAAGCTGACTATGTCCTTGATGCGCGTTTATTTTTTTATTGTTTATTATAGTTGTTTATAAACTTGCGTGCATAGAAATCGGCCCACTATGAAATTTTGACTTTAACTGTGTTTAGAATATATTTATCAGACCAAGAAAAAAATATGAGCTGTTTTAAAGAGAATTTAACATGCTTTGATATGAGTATAAATTTATCCAAAGTACTTATCGTTTATATGCGTAACAACGGGTAAACAAATGAAAGGCATTTGTGTTGTGGTGACAATAAGAAAAAAAACTTATCAAATATTGCAATTACTACTTTACTGTTACTTTGTAATCGAAATTTGCACATTGTTCTTTCATTGTTTGATTTGTTGTGTTTCAATGTTTGATTAGTGTTTCAATTTAATGCATACATTACGGAAAAAAAACTGCCAAAGTACTCGCTTTAATCGAAAATGGACTTAAACAGAGAGCTGTAACTCGCAACTGCGAGTTACAGACTGCGAGTAATGACACGCGGAGCGGTTCGAAGAGTGTGTGAACGATATGAAGAGACTCGATACTTTAGAAGGCGACCTGGAACTGAAGAAAGATATATAGAAATATATATAGAAAGAGATATACAACGGATCGTGATGACCGCTTTATTGTGTCAACAATATTAAGAAATCGGCATCTTATTGCTATTCAGGTGCAACGACAGCTCCGTGAAACACAAGGAGTGACTGTTAGTCAGTGGACAGTAAGACCACAAATTACCTATAACAGATGCGAAAGAAAGCGACTGCATCGGAAACCGCTCGGCAAATCCGACACGCCTATTGAGTGGTGTAAATACACCAGTCGTTTAGTCCGAAAACCTATGCTGTGTCGTATTCGCTTGCTGGAATGACATAGTGCGTGGTTATATGTTTCTTTTTAAAAACGCGTGTAGGATTTTTGTTGAACTTTTGAACTGTTATTTCTAAGTTTTGGTAATTTGTATATCTTATTTAAAATGGGATGCAAATGTGTTTATTTATAAGGGAAAAAATAGCTATTTATGTAACTAGTACCTAAAATGATGTTTTTTAGGACGAATCATTACTGTTTGCGGACGAGGCGTTAGCCGAGTCCGAAATAGTAGATGAGTCCTAAAAAACATAATTTAGGTACGTGTTACATACACTATTTTTTGTCATACGCTTTTTACAGTTTTTTAGAACGCATATTTGCAAATTTTCCATATTTGAAATTATAATGTTTGAAAAAGTTGGCTTATAAATTCATATCTTAGTAACGAGTTTGTTTATTTCATCGCATTTTGACATGTCATTCGAAATTTGTCACAAAATCACACAAATTCATCAACAATTTTAAAATGTTCCAAAATCCCGAACATATTGCTAATAAGGCCAAAGAAATCGTGTTGGATTTACTTCCTGTGAAGTCTCGTGCCATTTACCAGAAAGAATATGATGTTTTTAATGAATGGAAAGACAAAAATGGCGTATCTGTTGTAAATGAAGATGTATTGCTAAATTATTTCCACGAAAAAGTAAGTACCTAGGTACCTATTTAAAAGAGGCTTTTAAATTAAAATATTCTTAAATTACAGTCACAAACATTCAAACCATCGTCAATTTGGTCGAAATATTCCATGCTGAGAGCAGTGTTAAGTGTTAAAGAAGATATTTATATTGACAAATTTCCAAAACTTATTGCTTTTTGAAGAGGAATTCGGTTGGTTACGAGCCTAAAAAGTCTAAGGTTTTGTCCATAAAAGAGATCGGTGATTTTTTGGCCACGGCTAGTGATGAAACTTATTTACTTACTAAGGTAAGTTTGCGATAATGATTTTTAAAATATATAGATGGTTTCTTATTCCATTGTATTTGATTTTTAGGTAGCTCTTGTCATTGGCCTTTGTGGAGCATGTAGAAGAGAAGAATTGTACTCTCTACGAGTGCAAGACATCATAGAAAAAAGACAACAGCTGCCTTTTAGTTACCCTTGCGGATACAAAAATAATATCAAAAGAGTGTTTCCGGTGGTGAACGAAGGGAACGTTGTCAATCCAGTTGAGTTGTATAGAAAATATGCTTGTCTTAGGCCAAAAATGTACCACATGATTATGTCTTGTTTGTGACTGTAATTTAAGAATATTTTAATTTAAAAGCCTCTTTTAAATAGGTACCTAGGTACTTACTTTAAACAAATAACTTAGCTTTTGATATTGTTAGTATTTAATAATTTAATTATAAATATATGTATAATTTTATGTGATTTTGTGACAAATTTCGAATGACAAAATAAAACAACCAAATAACGAATTTAGACATTTTAGTCCATAAAGGTTGCCATGACGACCTTTACGGCCTAGGACGAAAAAGAAACATTTTACGGACTGAAATGAGTCCGTAAAATAGCTGTTTTTGGGAGCGTATGACAAAAAAGATATTTATAGTATAAAAAATTAATTTATTTAACAAAATTTAATTAAAAATGTGACAAAATAGTTACCTTTCTATTGGTTCTATCGGACTTTTTCGACTATATAAATCTTTATTTGTAAACTTTAATACATCAAATATTTTCAATCGAATAAATCATTTAATGATGTAAACAAGAGGAAATTTCTCACATGGGTGGTCAAATTTTATAGTTTTCATTATATCAAACAGCCTCTGAGAAATGTTTTCAACTCAAAATGCCTTTAATTATATTTTACTACATCATTAAAAAGGGTCTTCAAATACATCAATGTGATATTTGTCTAAAATTTGCAAAAAAATCCGAATCTCTGGATAACTCGAAATTATTTACCCATTTAAAAGCCTTTGATCATGAAAGTGGAAAAATTTGTTCATTTTATTTACAGGCTGGAAAAATTATTTAAATTAAATTTTGATGAGTTTTGCACTGAAGAAAACGTTCAGAGGCTGTTTGATATAATGAAAACTATAGAATTTGACCACCCATGTGAGAAATTTCCTCTTATTTACATCATTAAATTATTTATTAGATTGAAAATATTTTATTCATTAAAGTTTACAAAAAATAAAGATTTATATAGTTGAAAAAAGTCCGATAGAACCAATAGAAATGTAACTATTTTGTCACATCTTTAATTAAATTTTGTTAAATAAATTAATTTTTTATACTATAAATATCTTTTTTTTCCTAATCACCTACGAGCTGATATAATATGACGAACAATCTATTAAATTACTGCGAGATTATACAGAAAAGTCCACAGACTTCGAGACATAGGAAAATCAAGTCCATTTAGCGTGTGTCCAAATTTTGACAAGTTTTCAAAAATTACAGTTTTGTTTAGACTGACGTTTAATTTCACCTGACTTCTCGGTGAATGATTTTTTTATGGGGGTACATAAAATCTAAAATTTACGGCCATGAAGAAATTCAAAACTGGGAGCAGTTAAGGCAGAAAATATTTAATGCCTTTGACACTGTCACCCCTGATATGTTATCCAATGTGAGGAGGGGATTTTATGATCGTTTGGGTTATTGTTTAATGCAAGAGGGAGGCACTTTTGAACAATTTTTGTAATTTTTTAAATTTCATTATCCTGTTTTTTTTACCGTTTACCCATTACCTACCTTGACGAACATGGGAAAACGAAGGTTCTTTTCAGGACCACAAATATTTTGATTGAGAAAATTGGTAACTTTTTTTTGGATTAAAAAACAAAAGTTGTTAATATAATGCCAATTTAAAAGTGTTTTAGTAATTTTTGATACACACTATGATATAAAATTTATTATTATAATGTACATTATTAATACTATTGTTCATTCGAAATTGCATTAAGGCCCAATTGCAACAATGATTTAAATTTTTCTTAAAGATAAGTAGAGCTTAGAATGAGCTGTATTTATATTTACTTTAATATTCACCTTAAATGAAGGAATTTGACATTTTTTAATGATACTAACAATTTTAGTTCAATTTTTAATAAAATTTATTTAATATTAATAGAAATCCAAGAGGTTTGAAACCTCTTTTAGCGATTTATAACATTCTCAAATGACTTACAGGTGCCCTTATTTTCTATGAAAATCACACAGCTTTTTTCATAGTCGCTGCAGTTGCTATAGCTATAAAAAACTATTTTTTTAAGGTGTGAAAATTGCGACACACGCTAAATGGACTTGATTTATTGTATGTCTCGAAGTCTGTGGACCTTTTGTACGCCTCGATACAATTGGTGCAGATTATTTTCACCCAAACAAATAATAACTCAAACTATACATTGATGCGGATTGTCTATGAACTCTTTCTGAAGGTCACAGAAACCTGAACGCGTAATTCGGTGTTCTTTCGCATCTGTTGTAGTTAATTTGTGGTAAGACGAAGATTGGAGGAAAGTAACATGACCCCCAAAACACCCGCAATTAGTCCAAAACTTACCCAAGCTCATCGTCAAACAGGCCTGCCTTTTGGCGGCGTGTTTGACGATGACGGAAGAGGGCGTTTAACTGGTGCTAGGTATATTGAGGAGATTTTAGCAGTTCATGTTGTACCTTACGTCGACTAAATTGGAAACGAATTCACTTTTATGCATGATAATGCGAGGGCACACACATCAAGAATCGTACACGATTACATTTCAG